AATTGGTGGCTGACTAAATACTTTTTTGCCCCACTGTATATGTCCTTTTATTTTGGCACTAATTAAATTTTTCTCTAACAGGTGGAGCTGAATGAGATTGAATCGAGCTGTGAGGAGTATCCTCTCACAAGGGCCTTTTGTCATCTGATCAGTACTCTGGTAGAGAGTGCACTTCCAGTGAATCTTGGAGCAGGACTGCGTGCACCAGGCTTTCAGCCTTATCTTGACTTCCTGCGTGACTCCGTGTTTCTGGCCTTCCCCACACGTGCCTACCGGCGGCCAGCAGAAAAGGTTTGCTGTGGCCTGTTAGACTTAAACATGTGTCTTATCTCAGTCTTGCCTCCATTTATGGTTGTGTATCTTTATTGACTGATTTTATTTTACTCTTTGTAGTGGGAGCTAGCTGAGGCAGTGCTAGAGGTGTTTCACAAACTTCTGAGAGAATATGAGCCGCAGCCAGCCGACTTCCTGCAAGAAATGGTGGAACTTCAGGGAGAGCAAATGCCAGCCCATAAGCCCCCGGGACACAGTCTGATGTTCCACCTGCTGAATGACTCGCCCACCCTCTCTCTCTGCCTCAGCCTGCTTGAGGAGGGCGCCCGTCAGCTAGACACCTACGCCCCCTTTCCTGGTCAGTATGAGAGGCCTGCTCTGTATTTTTTATATCCTGTTTCATTTATGTTTCATCAAGTTATTTGGTATTTAGTTATTAACTTTATATTTAATATAATTTTTTTTAACAAGTTAATTGAGACTAAATGCTGAATGATTTCAGCATTTCTGGATATGGATCAGTTTGTGTGTATTTGTTGATGACATTATGCTGTTGCCATTGTTGTAGGTAAAAAGCAGTTGGAGTCGGCAGTGCTACACTGTCTGTGTTTGTTGGAGCTGGCTCTGCAGAAGGAGGTGACATTCATGGATCTGCTGAGAGAAAGTCAGACATCGCTACTTGTCTCTCCTGTGGAACAGCTCCTGCAGGGTGTCAGTGCTCAGAGCAGACGGGCTGATCACATCACCAACATTGCCAGGTCTCCTTCTTCCTTATTTATACATATCTGTCATATGTTGTTCTAGGGCTGTGCAATTAATCGAAATTCAGTTTCGATTTCGGCCGCCAACGATTATGAAAATACAGTAATCGAGATAAAATGATTATTGTGCCCCATTCCACCCCCTTTCCAGCGCAGCGGTGTTCTTTCGTTCCTCCATAAAAGCCCAATTTCACTTGCAAATCAGTAAAATCATGTAACGAGACTTTGCCAAATGGGACGTGCTTGATTTATTTAAGTTGATTAGATTTATTTATGTTTTTAAAAGCGTGAAAGAGAACTTGCGCTTCCTCGGGAAGATTGTTACTGTGCATGCGCTCAGAGACGGAACACAAACGGACATGTAAAGTAAGTCATCTTGTAGCGCCTAAACTGTCAAATACACACAAAAATGTGGCGCTTAGTGATTATTCACGTAAACCCTCATCGGTTATGTAATAAATGAATGTAAAGAGTTGAGAATGAAAATACTTGTGTAACAGTAAATTGGATCCATGTGGCTCTTAAAGTGATAGTGGGCTATATTCCTGCTGCCTACTGTGTGCTTAATATTAATCAAACAACAAAAGACAATCAAAATCATTCACTGCTCTTGACTGAAGGACTTTTGTAACTTTAATAAGAAACAAAGGAAGTTTAATTATTACAGTGAAGACTATGCTGTTTTATTTTACATGAGCTTATACAATTTCTCTAGTAGGCTGTTAACTGAATACTTTAGACTTGCATTAAAAAAAACTTAAAGCACAGTTTGTTTCATTTGTATATTTTTTTATTCTATTGTATTCTTTTGCTTTTTTATTACTGGCATTGTATTCCTTTGTTTTTTTTCATTACTGGCAGTTTAATTAATTTTAATAATTTTGAGGACCTTTTTTGTTGTTGTTTTTTTAACTAATATTAGTTACTCTGGTATTCTGCTGTAGTATTGAGAATTGTGACATTTCGCTGGTCTCTAAAATGTAGATGTCATAGCAACCTTATTTTCAGAAAATATATATTGGATATATATCACTGTGTTTAAATAAATCTTTCATATAAAGTTTTGGTCATATGGCCCACTAATAATCATTTTAAATAATCGTGATTACAATATTGACCAAAATAATCTTGATTATGATGTTTGTCATAATCGAGCAGCCTTTCTATTGTTCCCAGCAAAATAATTTCCCCCCAAATCATGTTAGGAATGCTTTAATCTGTGTCTGATTCAACAATACTTGGGCTGATTTGACTTGTTTGGCCTTCACAGGTACCTGTACCACAGCAGCTCGAACCCTGATGCTGCTTTCCAGAGTGCCAAGATTCTGCGCCGTATTGCACGCTACCCAAACATCCAGGCCAGACTGGTTGGAGACTTCACACATGATCAGGTAAGAGACCTCACATTGTCTATTAATAAGTAATACAAATAATTGGGGTTGCTTTAAATATGACAAAACTGTTTTGTAATGAGCAGGTGGTGAGTGAGAAGTTGATGGCTGGTTTTGTGGAGTGTCTGGACAGTGAGGAAGCTCAGGAGGGAGTAGCCGCAGATGGTGAGTCCTTATCCTGAAAAAAGCCAAATATCATCTATAAATGGTTTAAAGCGGCATTTAAGAACCTTTTTTCTCTTTGTTCAGACTCAGACCCTGAGAAACGGGTGGCCAGGATTCATCATGAAACCAAGATCCACATCCTGAACCTTCTGATCACCTCTCTGGAGCTAAAGGGCCCCAATCTGGGCTTGTATCTGCTGGGCTATGAAGTGAAGAAGCCAGTTTCCTCCACTAACCTGCAGGACCCAGGTAAGATCTCAGCTTGACTCAAAATCAGATTTAGGACTCTTATGTGTACCATGCTATGCCTGAAACAGTTTGGTCTTGTGACTACATCAATAAGGTGTTCTTGGCTGTCCACGGAGCTGCCTGCATGCGATCCTCAGTCTGCTCCAGAGGGGCAGCGAGTGGCGCACTGGACCTGTGCTCACCAAACAGGCCCCTCAACTAGCTGAACTCTTCTACCAGGTACACACTGTTTAACTAATTTACATACAGACATTGTGACGCCCTTTGTGTCACGTTAAAGTATCTTTTTTGTGTCTCTGTGTGTGTTTGTGTACGTACCAGGTGATCTATCAGCTGTGTGCCTGTCCTGACACTTCTGGGCCCACCATGCGTTACCTCAGGACCAGTCAGGACTTCCTGTTCTCTCATCTGCAGCACCTGCCTTTCATTCTACCAGGTATGCTTTTGATCTTGAGATATATATTAAATTATTGTATCATTTATAACAATTATATTTATTAATATATATATATATATTATTTAATTTTCAAACATTTAAATTTTTTTTAAATTAATTTTAATATACCAAGTATTTTTTTTTAATTGATTTTGGAGATTTTGGAGTCTTATGTAATTCTTGTAAGGAGTGATCGTTCACAACATATCTGTCTGAAAAGCATGTAGGCTTTAAACACTGTTCATAATGAAATTGTGTAATATATACTAACATCTAAAAATAATATGCAAATATTATAATACTGAATTTACAGGTACCTCCATGTGGGAGCGTTTGACTGCCCCTGAAGATTGTTTCTCCAAGCTGCAGAGAGAGAACCTGGCCATCATCGAGAGCTACGGCACTGCGCTCATGGAGGTGGTGTGCAGAGACGCTTGTGACGGCCATGAGATTGGCAGGGTAAGAGCAAACAAGTCAACATCATCTTACTGAGTTATTGCGAAATTAGATAATGAATTGAGGGTATCGTCTTTTTCCAGATGCTGGCTCTGGCTGTGTTGGACCGGGTGTTGTCTATAGACAGACAGTGCCAGTGGCTGATGTACCTGTGTAACAGCGGGTACCTGCGTGTGCTGGTTGAGAGCTTGAGGCAGGACGATGCCGCCCTGCAAACTCTGCTCACACCTCAGCCTCCATTGCTCAAACCACTCTACATCTACGAGTCCAAAATGGCATTGCTGACCCGTGTGGCTAAGACAGCACAAGGTGCGACAGAGCTCCTGCGCTGTGGGCTGGTTGGTCAGCTGGTGGAGTGTCAGGTGTTTCACATGCTCCCTCAAAATGAGGCACTCAGGTCTGTACTCTGTAATCTAGATACTAAATATAGATGAAGAAAAATGTCTCTCACTGTCATGTCATCTCACTCTCCATATCTCTCTTCCAGAGTGTTTGGGCAGAGAGATCCATCGGGGTTTATTCCTAGTCCTCTAGAGCGATACAGACAGATCCTGCTGCCTACTCTCAGACTGATGCAGGTCATCTTGACCTCCACCACCACACAGCACCAGCAGGGGGCGGCACAGGTACAAACAAACATACAATGTTTCCTTTGAAACAGGCTGAATCCAAATTCACAAATTTTGCTATATACTAAACGAGTTTAGCTAGTTATGAGGGAAGTACATACTTGTATGTAGTGCTACATCTTACTGCATACTTAAGTGTGTCAGTATTGGGACATAGGTGAAGAACGTTTATTTACACTATTGTGTAGAAGTTTTGGGGTCGGCAAGATTTTTTATGTTTTTGAAAGTAGTCTATTGTGTTCTTCAAGGCTGCATTTATTTGATCAAAAATACAGTATTATTGGAGATATTATTACAACTGAAAGTAATTATTTGAATATTTTAACATTTATTTATGTGATGGCAAAAAATCTTTCTGACTTGTCATCTTTTTAAAATATTTTTTAAAAGTCCAATATTTCATGAAAATTAGAAAGAAAAAAACAATAAAATAAGAAAAATAAAAGTTTAAAAGTTTTATTACTCTTGTCTAAATAAAAAAAATCATCAAAAAATAAAAACAAATGTATTTTAGACAGGGAAGTAATCTGTGTGTGTTGATTTGTAGGTGCTGCAGTGGCTCATCGTTCACTCTGATGTCATTCAGTCCATCCTGCATGGTCAGGATATGAGTATGGGCGCTCTACAGGAGCTCTCTCTCCTCACTGCCATCATCAGCAAGACCGCTCTGCCAGGTACAGACACTCCACAGCTGCTTAAATGCTTCATACACTGATGACTAATGCTGTGGATCTCGATTTCTTTATGTTTAGGAGCTCTGGAGATGGGACAGGAAATCAACAGTGCCGCCCTTATGGAATTACAGGGACACATCGGCAGATTCCAGGTAAAATATAGAAAAAAAAGTCTTTTGAAAGCTTATTTTTAAAAAGAAAAGAAAAGAATGGTTATGTGACTATAAACGGTTTAATGCAAGACATCAGACTAATCACAGTTAATAATGATGACATCAGTACTGTTGATTGCAGTTTAAAAGCTGACATTGTGTAAATACAAGTTCATGTGTGAAGATTACAAAATGAGCGATCTCCATCCTTCAGCGTCAGTCGTTGTCTCTGCTGGTGCGGCTGGTGGGAACCGATCGCGCTCGCTACCTGAAGCAGATCGAGGAGACCGTCTCCCCTGGTGACCTTGCAGAAAAGAGAGAGGAAATGGAGGTTGCCATGCAACAGGTGTTACTATCTTTAGCTGGAAAACACTACACCACTTTTAAAACAGAACGGAACACTTTTTAAATCTGCTTGGCCTGCCTGCCTGACTAATGCAATAATGTGTTCTAAAACTAAAACCATGAATGATCCTTGAAAATATATATTAAAGACTATTTAAAAAAATGTTCAGCTAGTTGCAAAGACATCATTTGTCATTTTCTTTTAGTTTTACTTGAAGTGGAACGGAACACTTTTTAAATCTGCTTGGAAATGCCTGACTAATGCAATAATGTGTTCTAAAACCATGAATGATCCTTGAAAATATATATTAAAGACTATTTAAAAAAATGTTCAGCTAGTTGCAAAGACATCATTTGTCATTTTCTTTTAGTTTTACTTGAAGTACTGAATTAACTAAAATGGCAATAAAAAGTAATAAGAACTATAGGCATATTAAAAAAAACAAAACTAAAACGGACAAAAACATACCTTTTTTTAAACTTTAATTGTATCTTGAAATTACAATGAAAATGTATATGAATATAAAAAATGATATCCAGATATAAATATAAAATAAAAACCAATGGAAAAAAATGAATAATAATATATCAATAATGATAAAATTGCATGTCTAAAATGTGCTCAAATTATTACAAATATTTGATCTCTGGTCATATTACATTATTTGATATTTGATCAACTGGATGGAAAAAGAGTGTAAGGTTAAAAATCTAAGTGCCCATCATAGACTATGATTTTCTGTAAAAGTCTGTCAAGTCTGGCAGGCAGGCAACGACTTTTGGCAACTACTGTCAACTCCACTAGACTTTAAATCATGGCACAAATCTGGGTAAAAATTGAGTAGTTTGATCACACTTTATTTTAAGATCCAATTCTCTCTATTAACAAACCATTAACTATGACTTTTGCCTCTATAAACTCCTAAATTGCTTGTTATTAATAGTTAGTAAGGTAGTTGTTTAGGTATTGGGTCGGAATAGGGATGTGGAATATGGTCATGCAGAATATGTGCTTTATAATTACTAATAAACAGCCAGTATGTAAATAATAGGCATGCTAATAAGCAACTAGGTAATAGTGAGAATTGGTCCCTATACTAAAGTGTTACCACCAGTAGTTTGCTTCACTGATATATGTATCATGTGATTTCTCAGATTTGTGCCAATATTATGGAGTACTGCCAGACGCTACTGCTGCAGAGCTCAGCTGAAGCCCAGTTCAGTCTCTGCCTGTTCAGCCCGTCAGCAAGTGAACCAGCAGGTCAGTCTTTGTGGTCGTCTAACGCCTGTCTCTGTCTGGCTTCTGTAACCTAACTCTGCATGTGATCATGTATCAGATGTAGCCGTTCCCTCTGCGCGGGTGCCCAGTCTGGGATTGGTTCTGCTCCTGCTGAAGAACAGCGCCACTGACTTCTTCCGATATCATGACAGCCACAGACAGAGCCTGAATAAGCTGGAGCGAGTGGAGCAGCTTCCCCCTGAGGAACTGAAGGAGGTATATCTGTCAACACAGAGAACGTTGCAGTAGTACTGCCTAAAATGTGTTTGTTTGATTGTGGGATGTTTAATGTATCTTTTTATGTGCAAAGCTGTGCCAGGGTCTGGTGTCCGGTTCTGGTGGAGTGGAAAAGGTCCCATCAGTGCAGAGAAACGTGCTTGCCAAGCGCCGACTCGTCCAGCTGGTCAACAACCGAGCCAAGCTTCTTGCCCTCTGCTCCTGTATCCTAACACAAAGACTGTTTGAGAAATCAAGAGATCCTGTTTGCGTTTCAAAACGACGTTTCTTTTGTTTCATTTTTTGAGAATTACAATCTGAATGCTGGAAACGGTTGCATGTTTTTCTTGACGTTTCTCTGAAGATACCATTGAGACATGCTTGTTTGTGATTTGGCGCCACCTAGAGTTCTACTTGCTGTACTGCACTCCCACTGACCCCAAAGACTCACTTCTGCCAGGTTTCAGAGGTCAGCCGTCTCTCATTCTAGTCTTCTTCAAAGCGCAGTCAGGTTTGGGTTGTTTTGCATGAGAGACTCATTTATTGCTTTCTGTGTAGATCCTAGTGGCAGCAGAGGATTAAGTGTGTCAAGAGTGAGCCAGCAAGATCTTGAACAGGTACTTTTTTTTTTTTTTTGCTTTGCTTCATGCTCTTTACTCCAGTGTGGAACAATGGCTGCTGCAAATTCAGCTCTGCCATCACAGGAATAAATTAAAATTTTAAAATATATTCAAATAGACAAAAATAAATACAGCCTTATTCAGGGCTGTCCGAACTCGGTCCTGGAGGGCCGGTGTCCTGCAGAGTTTAGCTCCAACCCTAATTAAACACCCCTGAACCAGCTAATCGAGCTCTTACTAGGCATAGAAACTTCCAGTCAGTTGTGTTGAGACAAGTTGGAGCTAAACCATGCAGGTCACCGGCCCTCCAGGACCTAGTTTGGACAGCCCTGGCATTATTTATCAAGGCGTAAGAAATAAAGTCTTGTTTTTGACACCTCTCTCTCTCTGTGTGTTTGTGTGTGTGTAGTTACAGACTGACGTGGCGAACAGCTTCAATGAGCCGTTGCAGAGAAAGCTGCTGGAGGTGGAGGGTCTGTATAGCAAAACCCGCTCCCGTCACACCTTTATCCAAGCCCTGACGCGCAGGATCCGTGGCCTAGTGCATCACGCCAAAGGCTGAACACTTGCATACATGTATATTCCCTCTAATAGTGCTAAAAAGTACTCTTTTGAATTAGGTGGCAAATAGTTGCTTTTTTGCAGTTTTGAATGCTATCAATCAACACATGAAATTTTCTTGCTCTGAAGATCTTGGTATTGGATTGATTTTTTCTAATGTGGTAAATAAATGGTTTTCTAAACAGATGATGGTTGTTTGTGATTTTTTTTTTTTTTTTTTAAATCAAGATGGTAAGTACAGTTCTTTGAGCAAATAAAGCAGTTTTGTTTCTGGTGATTTGTGCAGTGAAGAGCAGAGGCACAAAACCATTGCAGAATAATCTTGTTTTATTTTACAAGGTACGCTTTCTAGAAAACAGTAAAGTGCGTAATCTTCAGTTTCATTTGTATGTCTCGGTTTTGAGAGCTGATGTAGCTTTACTGCGGAAGGGATTCTGGGAGTGAGAACCAGCAGACTATATTCAGATCGCATGGTAAGGATTGTGAGCACACATCCATGTTTTAATACAGAAACTCACATTTAATATACCAACCCAGTAGCTTCCATAGTTTGCCTGTAAAAATGTGTGCGTAACTACAATGTCATAGGCACGTCCCATTCAGAAAATATGGACTGTGAAATCAACAACTGATTGACAGACAAAAATATGATTACAATTCACAGCCTTGATATGTTTCAAGGTCAAGTAGCTTTTGAATTGTTCATTAACACATGACAGTTTCTCAGAAACATCAAACCAAACAGTGGTTTCTTTTCAAATAAAAATTCAGTTTAAGATTAGTGCATGTGAAAGAAGGCCTGTAACTCACAACGTTGATGTGATGAAAGTGAAGCCAAATTAATTTCCAGTAATGCTAAGAATATGCAGATGTAAATGTGAACGAAATACATGCTTATTTCTTAAATACAAAGGATGAATAAATGGTCCGATCTAGACTGAGAGCCTTTTTGTGCTATGTAAAATCATGCATTTCCACTATAAATTATTTTTAAATAATAAAATTATAATTACAGTTTTTAAAGAACATCTACATGTGTCCCTGCTCCAGCGGGCCTATAGAGTGTGATCGTGCTGCCCACAGTACAAAACCACCTCCTCACACCCATCCCATCAGTCAACTGTCTACGAATAAAAGATCCATTACAGAAACTATAACACAGATTTGATCTACAACCACTAAATTGATACACTAAATACTGAATCTATTACCATGATTAGAGAGCTGATCAATCACAGACTGTCCATCTCTGATAATGCTAAGGAATAAGTTTGCTGAGCTACTGTGTGTGTGTGTGTGGTTTGAAGTATTAGCTAATTATCATACAATTTTTACACTATATTTTTTATTATATTGGTTGTTTCATAGTTTAACTTATTTTTGACTTATCATTTCATAGTTTAACTTATTTCTGTCTTATTTTTGTGCAATTTCAAAACCAGAGGAATAATTTGCTTAAACATGGGGGGAAAAAAAACTTTATGGACCTAATTATTGAAGTATTTGCTTGGAATGTATACTATATATATTGTAAAATATATATTGAAGTATGTGTTAAATTGCTGATTTCAATAATAGAAAAACTCATGTAATGACAGTCATCAACAATGCACAAAATAACAATGACAAATAAAAAATTCTAACTAAAGTGCAAAAAAACTGGATTCAATAAAAATAAGCCTTCATTTAATTTATGCAAAATCTGTTTTTTTTATTGTAATTTTGAGGTGAAATATGAATCTGACATTCACTGAAAGTGAATAAAACAAAAAGAAGGTCAAAGAAAAGGGTTCAGTTTTTCAGTATTTGTGATAAGCCAGCGCACTTCATCAAAAGTCAGTTTGCTTCAATGATGCACAAAGTGACAATTTAGAACAGGGAACAAGCAAAACTGATACTTCACAAATGTATTTTAAAAATGATTTCCATAATCTTTGTAGCTTTGCTCCCTCTTCTAAAGTGTTACCAAACCAGAATGTTAAAACATCAGGGTACCAGTGGTAACACTATATAATAAGCTTTATTAATAATATTAACATTATTGCATTACATGATGCTAAACAGATCATTAGTTCATGTAAATTAGTTAGAAATTAAACTTGAGTTTGTATTTTTTCATACATACTCATGAATGTACATCAACTGATCTGTTAAGCATTACTGAATGTTTGTTAATGACTGGTTACCGCAAGTTATTATAAAGTGTTACCGACCGATCTTACCGCTGCCGAATTCACCGCAACAGTTCGTGGACGTCGGATTTTCTTCCGAAACTGTATATATATAAAGGTTATATGATGTCCTTTTTTTCTGACAGTACAGTGTGTGGTCATTGATACATTAAAGAATGCAGCTCTGACCCCAGGTCACATGATCCTGAACTCACCTCTAGAATGCCCTTCTTCTTGCCCTCCCTCTCCTCACTGTCTATATTGCCTGTCAGGATGGAGTTACAGTCTTTGCACACCTTGTTCATCCTATTCCCATCATATTCCAGAGGGGCTTTGTAGTCTGAGCACTTCCCGCAGACCACCTGAATGAAATAGACATTTCAGCACATGACAAGCATTTTGAAATTGTGAAAACAGAATGTTTTTGGTTTGCTGCTGCTTACGTATCCACAGGCCCGACAGTGATGTCTCCTGCGCATTAAGGCATTAAAGGCCTCTTTGCACCTCATGCACATGGTCACCTCATTGTCTCGAATCCAGCGAGGAGCTCTTTTACCCAGTTCTGATATCTTGAGATCCTACACAGAAATATAGACATGTGTAAACAATAAAAACAAACAAATTTGGACTACTATGACTCTATAGTCCTGCATTATGTGCACACATAAGAACATATGCACAAAACATGAACCTCGGACTTGCACAATAAGATTAAAATATCTAATTAAACTAACATTACCATTCATGTAGTACTTATTTATAGAATTGAGACATGATACAATGGCTAAATTAATATAAATCATTTTGATTTAATCATTTATTTAAATAACTGAATAATTTTAAATTTAAATAATAATCGTTTTTAAAAGATGAAAAATTAGGTTAAATTTGCATGAAATAAAAAAAATCACGTCACATATTTTCTGTCTTATTCCATTTAATCTTTTATTAATTTAAATAATATTAATTGAATTATTAATGTGAATAATTTAAATAACAAAAACATTTAATCATTTAATTGTTTATTTAAATCATATTTAAATAATTCAATATTGTATTAATTTAAATCATTTTTATATAATTATTAATTTAAATAATTAAAAATGTGTCATTTAATTGTTTATTTAAATAATTCAACGTTCTAAATATGCTCTTCTATAACACTTCTAAGAAGACACACACTGACCGTTACTTCCTCCACATCTTTGAATGCTGACTTAAAGGTCTCATTTTTCTGGAGATAGATGTGTATCGTTTCCTGGAACGCCTAAAACACAAATGAAGACATTTTAAAAATGGACTTCCAATGACTTGATAATAATCAACATTGATATTACATTTTTACCTTTATCCAGCTTTCTTTATCCTGTTCAGAGCTGTAATAAGGCAACAGTTAAAACCATTTACCCTAAGACAACCATTAAAAACACCCAGTATTGAAGAATACACAGTATGCACTATGAACGCAAGCACAGTTGGTCCAGTCTGTACCTGGCCTGCAGCTCCAGTGTCCGTTCCTTTCCAGAAACCTGAAAGGTGTGAGGATAATCCTCATTGTACGTCTCCGTCACCTTCATGCCATCAATGCCGATACGTGTGCGAACCGTAAACTTCTGTCCCACCAAGCTAAACTTGGGAACACAGTACAGCAGCATGTTGTTGAACTGTGGGAAAAGTTCATAGAGATTTATAATAATACATTGCCAAATGCTACTATAATCAGAACTCATCAATGGCCAGCATGGACTTACTAGGAAGAGATATCTGTCCATGGCTGAAGTGTTTCTTGCTGCCAGTTTCAGAATATGACCCTCTTTTATTAACTCATTCGAAGGGTTCACAACGTCCTCTTCCTCCCCCAGCATCTCATAAATCTCCAGCAATTTCTTAAGGTTTTCCTAAGAGACAGAAGACAGTATAAAGAGAAAGAGCACAAAACAATCTTGAATATATTGTAGGTTTCAAGAGAAAAGCACTTAATAATACATAATTTTAGCCTGACTTTTGAATTTTTGGAAGATGTTATTAAAATGAGAGTCAGTTATTACGTGACTGACTCTGTTATTACGTTAAACGTAATCTAGAGATTCATTTGTGCAGCAGATAAAGAACACTCACTGTTTTCCTAATGGCAGAGTTGGAATGAGTGGCAGCCATGGCAATGATCTCTAAAGACTCTGCAGAGACAAATATTTCACATTTCGAAAAGGTCATGTTTGACATCTGGTTTAGGAATCTGCTCACTCCTGAACTCACTTTCAGCATCCCGCCGGTCTATGTGATCCTGAGGAAGTTTCTTCAGATAGTCTTTGAGCAGCATCTCGTATCGTGGCACTCTCTGAACGGGCTCCAACATGTGGTGCTGCAGCGTCAGACTTCCACACACTTCTTGACTCTGAACACACAAACACAGACACGTCAATCTACAAACACTAAGGGCGGCAAAAACAGACACTGTATATCAACAAAGAGTAAATCAGCCGTAACTTGGCTATTTTTTCCCCCATTATATCAGTACTAAAATCTACCAACATCTTTATTAATTAATAATCAAAATGTTCTCTTTTCAAATCATTTGGAGTTAAAAAAAAATTCTAATCTGGCTATTGAAAAGGACTCTCGGTGTTCAAGAGTAACAAACTGCAGTTTAAGGGTGCTTTCACACCTGGCCCGTTGTTTTGGAACCTGGCGCGTTTTCCCCCTTAGCTCGGTTCGTTTGGGCATATGTGAACACGGCAATCGCGCTCGGATCCGCGCCAAAACAATCGGTCCGAGATCTCCTGAATGAGGTGGTCTCGGCTTGATTGAAAACGAACTCTAGAGCGGTTCGGTTGTAGTGAGAAAGCAATCCGATCTAACGGACCAACGAACCAGGCTATATCACAGTGTATAATGGGTAATTGCGTAAGTTCCGTGAAAAGCATTAGCTTTGTTGTTTTGCTAATACTTCAAAATGAACCTGAAGAATGTCTGTGGGTGAGCACGTCTTTGCCATTCAAAATCAAAGCACACTTTTTCATTTTATAATGCCATCGTTTTGCTCTTCTTCCTATTAAGTGCATTTAAAAAATGTTTTCCTGATGAATCCTGGACTCCTGCTCAAAGTTAATATGTGACACATCTACAAAAAAACCCCAACAATAAGCGCGTGAAGCTCTTGTCGTTCCATCCTGACGGATGACAGCCGTGACAGCTAAGTGGAATCCCGGAAAATAAACCGTGAAACTTTGACCAATGAGAGAACAGTTTACTTGCTCGTGACTTGTATTAACAAATTTGGTCCATTTAGAAACGTTGCCGTGTGAAAGCGAACCGCACCAAGAATAAAAAGCAACATTGTAATAATTTTAATCCCTGTTTCGGAACAAAGCAATCGATCTACAGGTGTGAAAGCACCGTAAGACTATACACATCAATGTTCACCTGGATTTCCAGAATGATGGCTTTAAATGGAGGCGATCGGTCCGTCCACTGCTTCAGCAGATCCATGGCATGATCAAAGTTCCTCACATATTCAGCGTACATCTTCAGAAAGGGAGTGAGTTTCTGTAGGATGTCCCCAATGCGAGGTGTCGACGTCCTTGAGGAAAAGTCTCAAGAGCATTAAGACCATATTCCTACTGATTAAACCAAACACAATGTCTGAGAAGAGAGAGTGTGAACGTCTTACCATTCTCCCATGCGTTTTTCCAGATCAGGCAGAAGGAACTGGCTGTGGAAGGTATTAATGGAAGAGATGTTGGAAAAGATGTTTTTCACCACATCCATGGGGAACGCGTCTTTTCTTGCTTCTTCTAACAGCTTGGCATAAAACACCTGCAGGGCCAGAGTTAGATGATGTATGGTCTGTTTGCATACTACTATATTTAACATGTTCAGATTGAACAACAATGCTCATGTACTGGTTTCCCATTTAGGGCCTTGCAAGAGTTTGGTCAGTCTTTGAAAAAGCAGGGAAAAAAATGCTTTCATGAAAGACAATGTGAGCCCTTACCTGATCTAATAAGTTGAGTCGTGTAACATAAGCCTTCTCTGTCTGCAGAAGCTCGTTTGCTATCTTGTAGAGCTTCTGCTCATTAGTTTCCTAAATAAAAGAAGTTCAATTTGAACAAATACATAAACACAAATCAACATAATTTTTTTTTACATATTTGCTTCATGCAAATATTGGTTTTTAAAGATCTTTGATGGTGAATAAAGTCATATTTAACACAAAAAAACAGACAAAAAAAAAACATTGTACATAAAATATTTATGATATTTTTTTAAAAACAAACAGTATAAAAGCATTACTACAAATACTCATTTATATACTTTACCATTTAAATATAAAAAAAATAATTATACAATGATATGAAAATAATAAATAATATAAATAACAAATAATAAAAACTAAATAATGCCACAATTACAAAAATATTAATAGTCTTTTAGCAAAATATCATTTTTTACCTTTTTATTTTTAGGGTGAAATATGACCTCTATTCGCTTTTTAAAATGAAAAGCGGTCCAAGTTCATATTTTGCTTTACCTTTGCCAGCTCTTCTTGAGACACTATAAATAATTCAGATTGTCTAAAGTTCTGAGCTTTGGGCTCGCTATAACTTAAATTATACAACACATTTTTGTTGAGTTTGCTGAGAGGGAACTATAACACTGCAGATGCGTCTTTGGTGGGAGATCCAGCTCAGCTCAGGGCTGAAGGGAAACAGAGCTCTGAACGTAAGGGTCAAGGGCAAAGCCAATTCAGAGGTTGACTCCCACTCCACCTACATTCCTCACCTCGCCATCAAATTTCCCCCCTTCTTTCTCGTAAATAATTAAAACTATAAAATAACACAAATGTATGTAAATTATATAGTGACCAAAAAATGTTAATCAAATAATATTATTAATGATCAAATAAATAATTAAAAACAATAAAATAATCTAATTAACATAAATAAAACTATGATATAACACAAATGGAAGTAAGTGAATTATGTAGTTGCCAAAATACTAATAATACTAATATTAATTTTAAAATATTATTAATAATGATCAAATGAGTATGTAAAACAATCAAATATCCTAAATCAAAATTTCAAAATGCAATTATCATTAAAATAATTAAAGCTATGAAATAATTCCACTTCAATTACATCCACCTGTGTTATGCAGTGGCCAAAAATGTTAAACAAATAATAATAATAATAATAACAACAACAACAAAAACTACAAAATAACACAAATGGAAGCAAGCATATTATGTAGTGACCAAAAATGGTTTAAAAAATAATATTACTAATAATAAAATAAATCATTAAAAACGATAAAACATTATAATTAATATTCAAATATTTAAAACTAGAGTACAAATGGAAGTATGGGATCTATTATTAAGTAACCAAAAAAAACGGTCTTGTACTGTATTTGAACTTCAGGAGGTGCATGCCGGGGTGCTTTTTAAGTGCCACTGAAAGAGCCATTGAAAGAGTTCCAAAACAAATTATTTAAAGCTGCAGTCCGTAACTTTTTTTGTGTTCAAAATTTACAAAATGTATATAAAAAGCGAGTACACCATGAATCCATTTTCCAAACCGTGTCTTTGGCTTGTCCTGAATCACTACGGTACACCTATAATAAGTAGGGATGTAACGATTCACTCAACTCACGATCCGATTCACGAATTTGATTTCATGATTCGATTTGATTCACGATTATTTATTTATTTTAGCAAAATGAGATTTAAGACAAATTATAAATTAATTGTGTCCTTTTATTATTGCTTGGACAAAATGCTGCACCTTTCTTTGTGAAATTGAAATATAACACTATAATAATATACTAATATTGCACTTGCATATTATTGCTCTTTTGTTGGTTTTGATTACTTCTATTGTCCTCATTTGTAAGTCGCTTTGGACAAAAGCGTCTGCTAAATGACAAAATTTAAATATAATGTAAATGTAAATAACAAAACTACATTGAAATTTTAAAACAAGCCCCAAATCAAATAAATAAGTAACACAAATAAAAGAAATCTCTTCATATAAACAAACTAAGGCTTTGTCTGTGTTCTTTCCATTTAAAATTAGAGGCAACCACTGCATTTTAATCATGATCCAAACAAAGATGCTGCATACATGCAACATGAGCAGTTTTTATTCTAAATTAGATTGTATAATTTCAAAATTTGAAGCAAAAACAGAATGGTTTGACTTTAGTTTTGTGAAACTATACATAAAAATATCTGCATGAAACAGCGGACGAGCTGAACGAGACGCAGATTCACTCTCTGCCAGCAGGTGGCGCTTAAAGCGTTTCACTGGTTTCTGCTGTAAACAAAGCAGCGCTGCACATATGAACTTTAATATGCTTTATACAGAGGCAAGATGAAAAGAAAAAATACCATCTAAACTTTTCTAAAGACAGTAAGTTCCCCTCAGACATACATTCATATAAACTCTTACCCCTAGATGAATCGCCATTTGTTTAGCATCTCAACCGATTTGAATCGTCACATATTTAAATCGATTTTCAACCGGCTCGCGGTTAATCGTTACATCCCTAATAATAAGTGTCTATATTCGGACTAGGGATGGGCATTCCAAGCAAAACTAATATTCGAAAATCGCAGGGTATTATTCGATTATTATTCGAAAATCACAGCCCTCCAAAATCGCATGCACGCACAAACACCCATAAACTGAGAGAGAGGGAGAGAGACAGGATTCACACTTTCAATCTGTATGATAAACTGTTTTAGTCCAGAAGATAGGCTACCTAAACTCAAGCCATATAATGATTGTAACGTGCTGAAACATATTAATATAATAAACACAACCGAATGACGGCACTTATTAACATTACAGTCCGTCGATTAGCATAAATGAACTGCTCATAAGGCTAGGACATTTCCATTTCAAAAAATAGAACCCCTAAAGGAAATAGATACGAGATGGGAGGAAAAATATACTTCAATATTTTCTGTCGCAATTATATTATTAGGTTATCATACTGTATATAAACTGTGGGCATCAGGGAGCCATTGTTAATATGCGGGGCATTTAAATCGCTTTTGAACGCATGCTTTTTTACTTTCACTTTCGAGACTCGCAATCACACGTACGTACGGAGCAGCACTCGGCAGTAACGTTACTTACCACACATTTTACAAGATTAGATGTTTGTCAGTGGTGCTCAGGATCTGCAAATCATTCGCCATCATCCTATCAGTCATCTCTCCTTACTCTGTTTTTGTGGTACGTGAAATGCTATGCACTGTAATGTAACAGGCTACCGTTAGCAAGCGGCTAACCATGTCCCTTTAGTGGCTCCATAGAACGCGTTATTTGTTTACCGCGCCTTTCTGAATACAGATTCAGCCACATCTCTAACCCAGTCGGGGGTGTTTGTGGTCCGCACAGAACTCTTATTTGACATCGTCCCAAGTTACTGTAACTGTTATATGCCACGGAAGTCTTTTTTTATGCCACGCAAGTCTACAGTGTGCGGACGAGACAATGTGTTCTCCTGTTGTCTTTGACAGCAGCTTTTAGGTGCGTTATTGGCAGCGCCAACCTCTGCTTACATGAACACCACCGCACGGAAAACATGGGGAGACAATAATCGCACAACCTATTCGATATTCTATAATTAAATCAACTAATCGAATATTCGAAAATCGTGACATCCCTAATTCGGATTATTTTAGACTGATTCATGTAGGTAATGCTGCAGAGTAGCCCAATACCTGTGTGATTCGTCATAGACATAAACAGAGAGAAGTAGCTCCGGCTACAATGTTCTTCCGCAAGATGCACGCAATTCTGTTTATTAACCGCTAGAGCGGCAAAAGTTACGGACTGCAACTTTAATCTGTTTACCAATTTACTGACTCCATGACTAAGCATTTAAACACAAGATTTTAGGTTTTTAAAACGATAACATACACTTCAGTCAAGCACGTCCAAAGTATTGATTGTAAACATCAGAATGCCATTAAACAGAATTCATTTTGGTAATATATAGCAGCTGTTTTTAAAAAGCAATAATGCACTCAAAGCTGTGCTGTATTGTGGCCCTTTAGCCGTGACTATACTAACAATATAGAAAGGCCTTGAGTGCGTAAGTGTACCATAATGACAGATTTTGTCATCAGACTTCAGTCTACTTGACCCACATCTACAAGATTTAAAAAACAAAACAAAAAAACAAAACCAGAAGCATTAATCCATCTGCAATGTTTTCTTCAGAGGAAATGAAGGCCTGGCTGTAAGACTAACGTGAACGTCAGCATGTAAATCTGGCGGATGAGACAGCACATTGCTCAGCCGGGCCCGAGGTGTCAAATAACTGTGTGACAGTGTCACTACTGACTCCATAAACACACTCACACTCACACGGACAGACAAAATCTGAGCGGACCAATACTCCTCACCAATCCTCTCAGATACCAAATCCATCTTACCTTCTGCTCTGGGATGCTGTTCATCACAACTTCACGCTGCTCCGGCGCTTTCCTCTCCTCCTCTTTAGCCCGTTCTATGTGAGCGTGAGGTGGATCTACACAGTCCTCGTCCATAATTTCCCTCTTAGCCACATCACCGGCATCTCCGTTCAGCAGTCCCTGCCTGTCTGTTCTCACGACCGGAACTGTGTCGTGCGTAATTCCGTCCATGTCCCGATTCCTGTCCTGTTCTCTCTTCTTTTGGGCTAGGACCCCATTGGGGGGTTTGAGAGCATGTCGTGGGCTGTTCGCAGGAGAGCCGGAGTCTGTGGGCTGCTCCGTCTGTCTCTGGTAGTTTTTGTGAGCCGGGCTGCTGTTAGGAGATATGCTGACCTGCTTCAGAGGAGCGCCCTCCCTCCGACTGTCTGTGTGACTGTTGAGAGAGAGAGAAAGCAGAGGAAGGTCACCTTCTTTAGAGTCCGAGAACTCCTAGAAGACCACTAACTTTTACAGTTGGCGAACAGAAAGAGAAAGATGTGTTGTTTGTGTGAATGTGATGGCGCTGAAAGAAGTGTTGAACAAACTTCCTCTGTCTTGTGGGGCAGCCATGTGTGCGTCTGCAGGGGACGTGTGAATGAGCGGTTCATGGGAGGAGTGGAGGAAAAGAGGATAGGAGGAGGATGGGAGGAACAGAGAGCGTGAGGAGAGGTAGAACGCGGCTGCAGAGTGTCCCGTGAGACACGGCTGCCCTACTTCAGAACACATGCCAACATGCAAGAACACACATTTACACACTCAAGAGAGCGAGACGGTCTTTCTCTTTTGAACAAAATGCTTTCAGGAACAGTGGGAGCAAACTATAAATTATGTAAGAGTAATCATGTACAGTGCACCCAGACAGTCTGGTTTTGTGATGATGATAATTTCAAAATTTGAAGCAAAAACAGAATGGTTTGACTTTAGTTTTGTGAAACTATACATAAAAATATCTGCATGAAACAGCGGACGAGCTGAACGAGACGCAGATTCACTCTCTGCCAGCAGGTGGCGCTTAAAGCGTTTCACTGGTTTCTGCTGTAAACAAAGCAGCGCTGCACATATGAACTTTAATATGCTTTATACAGAGGCAAGATGAAAAGAAAAAATACCATCTAAACTTTTCTAAAGACAGTAAGTTCCCCTCAGACATACATTCATATAAACTCTTACCCCTAGATGAATCGCCATTTGTTTAGCATCTCAACCGATTTGAATCGTCACATATTTAAATCGATTTTCAACCGGCTCGCGGTTAATCGTTACATCCCTAATAATAAGTGTCTATATTCGGACTAGGGATGGGCATTCCAAGCAAAACTAATATTCGAAAATCGCAGGGTATTATTCGATTATTATTCGAAAATCACAGCCCTCCAAAATCGCATGCACGCACAAACACCCATAAACTGAGAGAGAGGGAGAGAGACAGGATTCACACTTTCAATCTGTATGATAAACTGTTTTAGTCCAGAAGATAGGCTACCTAAACTCAAGCCATATAATGATTGTAACGTGCTGAAACATATTAATATAATAAACACAACCGAATGACGGCACTTATTAACATTACAGTCCGTCGATTAGCATAAATGAACTGCTCATAAGGCTAGGACATTTCCATTTCAAAAAATAGAACCCCTAAAGGAAATAGATACGAGATGGGAGGAAAAATATACTTCAATATTTTCTGTCGCAATTATATTATTAGGTTATCATACTGTATATAAACTGTGGGCATCAGGGAGCCATTGTTAATATGCGGGGCATTTAAATCGCTTTTGAACGCATGCTTTTTTACTTTCACTTTCGAGACTCGCAATCACACGTACGTACGGAGCAGCACTCGGCAGTAACGTTACTTACCACACATTTTACAAGATTAGATGTTTGTCAGTGGTGCTCAGGATCTGCAAATCATTCGCCATCATCCTATCAGTCATCTCTCCTTACTCTGTTTTTGTGGTACGTGAAATGCTATGCACTGTAATGTAACAGGCTACCGTTAGCAAGCGGCTAACCATGTCCCTTTAGTGGCTCCATAGAACGCGTTATTTGTTTACCGCGCCTTTCTGAATACAGATTCAGCCACATCTCTAACCCAGTCGGGGGTGTTTGTGGTCCGCACAGAACTCTTATTTGACATCGTCCCAAGTTACTGTAACTGTTATATGCCACGGAAGTCTTTTTTTATGCCACGCAAGTCTACAGTGTGCGGACGAGACAATGTGTTCTCCTGTTGTCTTTGACAGCAGCTTTTAGGTGCGTTATTGGCAGCGCCAACCTCTGCTTACATGAACACCACCGCACGGAAAACATGGGGAGACAATAATCGCACAACCTATTCGATATTCTATAATTAAATCAACAGACACCCTCCACCACTTAGCACAAAGAACCCAAGCTAACTTCCAATACGTCCAGCCTTTGGCACAGCTGACTGCAATTCTAAAGAAGCTCATTGTCGAAACTTACCTCAGAGGACAGGAAATGAAAGGATGGATAAGAGGAAACAAGTTAAGCCAATAAAAGAGGGACTGGTGTGGACAGAGGATTGAAGGTCTGTGTTTCTGAAGCTTCATGCGTGTTCACATTCACAGAAAATCTGGTCTTTTATCATTTATATTCAATCTAAATAATTAAAACTATAAAATAACACAAATGTATGTAAATTATATAGTGACCAAAAAATGTTAATCAAATAATATTATTAATGATCAAATAAATAATTAAAAACAATAAAATAATCTAATTAACATAAATAAAACTATGATATAACACAAATGGAAGTAAGTGAATTATGTAGTGGCCAAAATACTAATAATACTAATTTAAAAATATTATTAATAATGAGTATGTAAAACAATCAAATATCCTAAATTAAAATTTCAAAATGCAATTATCATTAAAATAATTAAAGCTATGAAATAATTCCACTTCAATTACATCCACCTGTGTTATGCAGTGGCCAAAAATGTTAAACAAATAATAATAATAATAATAATAATAACAACAACAACAACAAAAACTACAAAATCACACAAATGGAAGCAAGCATGTTATGTAGTGGTAGTTCTGTATGTTGTATAGTACGTACGTACGGAGCAGCACTCGGCAGTAACGTTACTTACCACACATTTTACAAGATTAGATGTTTGTCAGTGGTGCTCAGGATCTGCAAATCATTCGCCATCATCCTATCAGTCACAAAAAATAGAACCCCTAAAGGAAATAGATACGAGATGGGAGGAAAAATATACTTCAATATTTTCTGTCGCAATTATATTATTAGGTTATCATACTGTATATAAACTGTGGGCATCAGGGAGCCATTGTTAATATGCGGGGCATTTAAATCGCTTTTGAACGCATGCTTTTTTACTTTCACTTTCGAGACTCGCAATCACACGTACGTACGGAGCAGCACTCGGCAGTAACGTTACTTACCACACATTTTACAAGATTAGATGTTTGTCAGTGGTGCTCAGGATCTGCAAATCATTCGCCATCATCCTATCAGTCATCTCTCCTTACTCTGTTTTTGTGGTACGTGAAATGCTATGCACTGTAATGTAACAGGCTACCGTTAGCAAGCGGCTAACCATGTCCCTTTAGTGGCTCCATAGAACGCGTTATTTGTTTACCGCGCCTTTCTGAATACAGATTCAGCCACATCTCTAACCCAGTCGGGGGTGTTTGTGGTCCGCACAGAACTCTTATTTGACATCGTCCCAAGTTACTGTAACTGTTATATGCCACGGAAGTCTTTTTTTATGCCACGCAAGTCTACAGTGTGCGGACGAGACAATGTGTTCTCCTGTTGTCTTTGACAGCAGCTTTTAGGTGCGTTATTGGCAGCGCCAACCTCTGCTTACATGAACACCACCGCACGGAAAACATGGGGAGACAATAATCGCACAACCTATTCGATATTCTATAATTAAATCAACTAATCGAATATTCGAAAATCGTGACATCCCTAATTCGGATTATTTTAGACTGATTCATGTAGGTAATGCTGCAGAGTAGCCCAATACCTGTGTGATTCGTCATAGACATAAACAGAGAGAAGTAGCTCCGGCTACAATGTTCTTCCGCAAGATGCACGCAATTCTGTTTATTAACCGCTAGAGCGGCAAAAGTTACGGACTGCAACTTTAATCTGTTTACCAATTTACTGACTCCATGACTAAGCATTTAAACACAATATTTTAGGTTTTTAAAACGATAACATACACTTCAGTCAAGCACGTCCAAAGTATTGATTGTAAACATCAGAATGCCATTAAACAGAATTCATTTTGGTAATATATAGCAGCTGTTTTTAAAAAGCAATAATGCACTCAAAGCTGTGCTGTATTGTGGCCCTTTAGCCGTGACTATACTAACAATATAGAAAGGCCTTGAGTGCGTAAGTGTACCATAATGACAGATTTTGTCATCAGACTTCAGTCTACTTGACCCACATCTACAAGATTTAAAAAACAAAACAAAAAAACAAAACCAGAAGCATTAATCCATCTGCAATGTTTTCTTCAGAGGAAATGAAGGCCTGGCTGTAAGACTAACGTGAACGTCAGCATGTAAATCTGGCGGATGAGACAGCACATTGCTCAGCCGGGCCCGAGGTGTCAAATAACTGTGTGACAGTGTCACTACTGACTCCATAAACACACTCACACTCACACGGACAGACAAAATCTGAGCGGACCAATACTCCTCACCAATCCTCTCAGATACCAAATCCATCTTACCTTCTGCTCTGGGATGCTGTTCATCACAACTTCACGCTGCTCCGGCGCTTTCCTCTCCTCCTCTTTAGCCCGTTCTATGTGAGCGTGAGGTGGATCTACACAGTCCTCGTCCATAATTTCCCTCTTAGCCACATCACCGGCATCTCCGTTCAGCAGTCCCTGCCTGTCTGTTCTCACGACCGGAACTGTGTCGTGCGTAATTCCGTCCATGTCCCGATTCCTGTCCTGTTCTCTCTTCTTTTGGGCTAGGACCCCATTGGGGGGTTTGAGAGCATGTCGTGGGCTGTTCGCAGGAGAGCCGGAGTCTGTGGGCTGCTCCGTCTGTCTCTGGTAGTTTTTGTGAGCCGGGCTGCTGTTAGGAGATATGCTGACCTGCTTCAGAGGAGCGCCCTCCCTCCGACTGTCTGTGTGACTGTTGAGAGAGAGAGAAAGCAGAGGAAGGTCACCTTCTTTAGAGTCCGAGAACTCCTAGAAGACCACTAACTTTTACAGTTGGCGAACAGAAAGAGAAAGATGTGTTGTTTGTGTGAATGTGATGGCGCTGAAAGAAGTGTTGAACAAACTTCCTCTGTCTTGTGGGGCAGCCATGTGTGCGTCTGCAGGGGACGTGTGAATGAGCGGTTCATGGGAGGAGTGGAGGAAAAGAGGATAGGAGGAGGATGGGAGGAACAGAGAGCGTGAGGAGAGGTAGAACGCGGCTGCAGAGTGTCCCGTGAGACACGGCTGCCCTACTTCAGAACACATGCCAACATGCAAGAACACACATTTACACACTCAAGAGAGCGAGACGGTCTTTCTCTTTTGAACAAAATGCTTTCAGGAACAGTGGGAGCAAACTATAAATTATGTAAGAGTAATCATGTACAGTGCACCCAGACAGTCTGGTTTTGTGATGATGACAGGATGACTGGACAGGATCCCAGTTATTACACGGCTGCTTAATAAATAAATAAATAAATAAATAAATAAATAAATGGACATGAAATATTGATTTGAGTTGAAATTATTACTATAAGACCAGCTCTATCAATTTGAGCTGCTTTGACAAGGAAAATATTTTAAGTTTTATGCACAAATACAACATTTAATTTTATTAATGTATTAGTAAATGTCAAAATTAACATTAAGAATAAGAAATGCTTTAGAATTATTTGAATTGTTAGAAGCATCGTTTCCATCCAACAAGTCAAAGAGAACAAAATCGTCACTTCCTGATAAGCTGGCACGATAAATCACTAAGAAAAGTAGGACAATATAATAATTTTCATATATAGCACCTCAGAGCGAGCAGACGAAACACAATGAATGCGTGTCCTGACATTTTATCCTACCCGTCAGATACGGACGTGGATGCTGCTGTTTGGGAACACAGTCGTGTAAGACATTTCTGGGAAGCAATTATACAGAAATACTTTGATGACAGACTTTGCTCGTGCATTTCCGAATGACCATAACAACATTTCAGATGCTGTGGAATGAGATCGGTCCGCTGGTTAGTCAGGTTTTGCCGTCCCATAGCGCAATGACTTTGCAAAATGCATTTCCATCTCCCATTATTCGCATCAACCCTTTTTCGCACAAGTCAAAAACCACCTCAAGCGAGAGTAAAAACTTTTTTGCGAATTAAGGGATTTTTATTCGAAATTTGGCGTGTCCATCACTCGTTTCTCATGCGATACTTCAAAATGCGCATTCATATAGGGTGATGGAAACATAGCTATTGTCACGTTCGCTACAGTGCCATGACACATGCATGTGCATTCCTCTACTTGCAAACAAGGCGTAGCCACGGATGCCACATGGACTATTTTAAAAATGTTTCTGGGCCTGGGAACATTTCAGTTGCATTGCTGTCTATGGAGGGTCAGAAAGCTCTCGGATTTCATCAAAAATATCTTAATTTGTGTTCCGAAGATGAACGAAGGTTTTGCAGGTTTGGAACGACATAAGGGTGTGTAATTAATGACAGAATTTTCATTTCTGGGTGAACTATCCCTTTAAGTGTCTTGCTTAAGGGCAAACCCGCCCTGAGCTTTCACTGCACCTCTAACCGCATGTAAGGAAGTGTAAATCAAAGTGCCCAAATAGAACATATACAGTATGTGGGAAAACCCCTAATAGTGAAGTTATCTTAAGGAAGCACTTAGTTTATTGCAGGGAGGGCCACTGTCCTGCAGAGTTTAGCTCCAAGCCCAATGAAACACACCTGCATCAGCTAATCAAGGTCTTCAGACTCAATAGAAACTTCCAAGAAAGTGTGTTGGAGCTAATCTCCAAGAGAAGGCCCTCCAAGAGAAGGACTGGACGTCCATGGTTTAGTGCTATTATACTGGAAGTTGTAATCGTCACAAGGTGGCAGTGTAGCTTTAGTATGCTGCAATGGAACCTGATAATACCCTGCAAGGTGAGATTACTTTTTTGATGCGCTTTGAGGAATTTATTAGCAAAATGCATTTCCATCTCCCATTATTCGCATCAACCCTTTTTCGCACAAGTCAAAAACCACCTCAAGCGAGAGTAAAAACTTTTTTGCGAATTAAGGGATTTTTATTCGAAATTTGGCGTGTCCATCACTCGTTTCTCATGCGATACTTCAAAATGCGCATTCATATAGGGTGATGGAAACATAGCTATTGTCACGTTCGCTACAGTGCCATGACACATGCATGTGCATTCCTCTACTTGCAAACAAGGCGTAGCCACGGATGCCACATGGACTATTTTAAAAATGTTTCTGGGCCTGGGAACATTTCAGTTGCATTGCTGTCTATGGAGGGTCAGAAAGCTCTCGGATTTCATCAAAAATATCTTAATTTGTGTTCCGAAGATGAACGAAGGTTTTGCAGGTTTGGAACGACATAAGGGTGTGTAATTAATGACAGAATTTTCATTTCTGGGTGAACTATCCCTTTAAGTGTCTTGCTTAAGGGCAAACCCGCCCTGAGCTTTCCCTGCACCTCTAACCGCATGTAAGGAAATGTAAAACAAAGTGCCCAAATAGAACATATACAGTATGTGGGAAAACCCCTAATAGTGAAGTTATCTTAAGGAAGCACTTAGTTTATTGCAGGGAGGGCCACTGTCCTGCAGAGTTTAGCTCCAAGCCCAATGAAACACACCTGCATCAGCTAATCAAGGTCTTCAGACTCAATAGAAACTTCCAAGAAAGTGTGTTGGAGCTAATCTCCAAGAGAAGGCCCTCCAAGAGAAGGACTGGACGTCCATGGTTTAGTGCTATTATACTGGAAGTTGTAATCGTCACAAGGTGGCAGTGTAGCTTTAGTATGCTGCAATGGAACCTGATAATACCCTGCAAGGTGAGATGAAGTGCATCTTGAAGCCAAAGAGTCTGTCTCTACCTGCGGAGAGCAAATCACAGCTAATCTAAGGGTGCTTTCACACCTGTAGATCAACTGCTTTGTTCCGAAACAGGGATTCAGATGATTACAATGTTGCTTTTTATTCTTGGTGCGGTTCACTTTCACACGGCAACGTTTCTAAATAGACCAAATTTGTTAATACAAGTCACGAGCGAGTAAACTATTCTCTCATTGGTCAACGTTTCACGGTTTATTTTCCGAGATTCCACTTAGCTGTCACGGCTGCCATCCGTCAGGATGGAACGACAACAGCTTTGCGGGCTTATTGTTGGTTTTTTTTTTGTAGCTGTCCTTATATTAATTTACCATTTTGAGCAGGAGTCCAGTATTCATCGGGAAAACATTTTTAAAATGCACCTACTAGGAAGAAGAGCAATAAGACGGCATTATAAAATGAAAAAGTGCGCTTTTTTATTTTGAATGGCGAAGACGTGCTCACCCACAGACATTCATAGGTTAATTTTGAAGTATTAGCAAAACAACAAAGCTAATGCTTTTCACGGAACTTATGTAATTGCCCAATATATACACTGTGATATAGCCTGGTTTCGTTGGTCCGTTAGATCGGATTGCTTTCTCACTACAACCGAACTGCTCCAGAGTTCGTTTTCAATCAAGCCGAGACCACCTCGTTCAGGCGATCTCGGACCGATTGTTTTGGCGCGGATCCGAGCGCGATTGCCGTGTTCACATATGCCCAAACGAACCGAGCTAAGGGGGAAAACGCGCCAGGTTCCAAAACAACGGGCCAGGTGTGAAAGCACCCTAAGTCTGATGGGGTGGAGATATTGCAGAGCTCATGGCTCCATCTAGTCTGTCCCAATATAAATAGTGGCCGCCCCTCTCATTTCATACATCTCTAATTCAGTAAGTGTGGTCTTTGAGGTTTATGTCAGTGGGCTTTTTGCCTTTAATTTTACATGAGAATACAGAGATACATAAAAAAACGGTTCTATGTAGGAGGAACCCTGTTCCGGCTCAATGCCTATCTGTGAAGCATTTTGAAACCAACAATTATATATCTGCAGTCGATGTTCAGAATACTTTTCAGCAAATATGCAAAGCGATGACATCGTATAATTTTAGGGTCTGTAATGATAGAGCTGACCTTTTAAAAAAAAAAAAAAAATATCAGAAGAACTTTACAAATGTTTAACTGTTACTCTTATCACTAGGAAATCATTCACACTTTTCAAACACGACAGACAATCTGCTTAGTGATCGAGCTCGGGTTCAAGGATGCTCTGAAGGTGCCGTACTTATTACAGCAGTGTTTTTCAGCATTAATCAGTAGCCATGCTGATTTGAATCCGGTTAATGGTAACGTTCAGTGTTCAGGGCCTGTTGTAAAGGGAAAGACATGTTTGTGTGTAAAATAAGGTTCTAGAAAGAGGTTTAACAATGATGCCATAGAACCATTTTGGGGTTCTCCAAAGTGAACAGTTCTTAAAAGAACCATTTATTTCTTAGTCTAAAGAAAACTGTAATAATCTAACCAACCTTTTTTCCACTATAAGGAACCTTTTGTGCAATGGGAAGGTTCCAGGGATATTAAAAGGTTCTTCATGGAACCATAGATGCCATAAAGACCACCACAGACAGTTTAACATGTACTTCTGTGGAATTATGGAAGGAGTTATGTGTGTGTGCATATTGTGCGCATATCTCCATACCTTGTGGTTTGGGATGCAGTGGTGGCCGTCGACCTGAAACTCTTCCATTTACTCCAGTAAGGCTCTTATTGCTGAATCTGCATCCACGACTCAACTTCTCATTGTGACGACCTTGCTCATCAGGACTGTGGCTACCAACGGCTGCAGAGGAGAAAAGAAGGATGGGAATAAAGCGGTTTCAAAAGCAGTTCGTTTTATCTAATTGCTTGGAAGCCATACTGTGCGCAAACTTCAGTTGAGTAGCGAGAACATGCCATACTAACAGTATTCTTGTAAATACACTCTCTGTGCAGAAGTGAAATGCAAGAGGTCTGTTTTTTGTGCTCCTGATATCAGTCAGGGCTGGTATAAAAGTGGCATTGAAACTCAGTGACTTAAACTTGAAACAAAGACTAAAAATAACCACAAGTTCCTCTGAGTCAATTACGGAACAAAGTGTTTCAGATTGTTTGGATGATCAATATTCAAATTATGAGGAAGCTTTTTTGTTCGCCTCAACCAAGAAATGTTTCCTGAAAAACAGCTTTGGGAAATACTGTAAGACATGCACGTATCTGTCGACAATGACTGCTAACCTTGAAAAGTTCAGATCTAAAAATGACACAGAACTGAATCCCACGTTGAATAAGAAAAACTTTCCAAAACAACAAGAACAAAATATCAGTAGGCTATTTTTACTGCAAAAATTAGACTAGTGATAAAATCTGCTCTCATAAGTAGGGGTGGGACAATAAATCGATCTGCCGATTTATAGCGATATTTCCGGCAGCGAGACGTTATTTTTTTTAAACATACAAAAGATCGAAATTCATACCTACACTGTGGCTGTTTACCACTTTGGCTTACCGGAGCGGCAGTACCTCCAGACAGGCGCTTCCCAGATTGCGGATGGTCAGATGAACGGAAATTGTAATTCACAGCGAAGAAGAAATACGAGCGTAATGGTAGACCAACAACAAATCAGAGATGCACCAGCGTCTAATGTATATGGAGATGAGAACTAAAAAAACTGCCCCGGAACAGCTATCAGCGTGGACTGTAGGCATCGATCACGTTATTATTGCAGAGTGCATATTGAGTCCGTGAGGACCTCTCAGCTCGGAGCGCAGCGCACTATATGAGTGAGAGAGAGCGGCGCCGGTGTAGTGCCGAAATTTGCACCCTGCCAGATTATGCACCCCCTAGTATTGGTAGGTTTCGGAGTAGGTGTGGTGGAGGGGTTAGGATTAGGGGTGGGGTGGGGTTGGGATTAGGCAATCAGGTAGCGACTTCAATGAGGGAGTGCATAATCTGGCAGGGGTGCAGAATTGGGCACAACACCGGTGTTACGAGATTTTTGGTTTCAGTGGGCGGAGTTTTCATGAGTTTCCCGGACATGCGCGTGGAACCAGGTGGAAATGAGAATTTCAGTTCACGCTCCTTGTATCTCAGCAGGTTTAATGGAATATTTTAAAAAAGGTAAATATATTTATAGCATTGCACAAACCTATGCCTAAACTACAATTGTTCATCATTTTGTAACAGTTTATAAATGTTTTTGTGCAGTCGTCACTGACTGAATGATTGCAGACATTCAGCACACTCTTATACAAGCTAGATGTATAAATGACTTTGATTTCAATTCGTTGTGCTGTATCTTGCAATGCTTTAAAACTACGTCTGTTGTTAGTTGTTATCATTTGAGTACAACAGCTATTTGTGGACTAATCGTTTTTCATCTATGTTGGTGTGATTGTTCTTAAACTGTTAGGCTTAGGCTATATTTACAAAATGAATAGGAATATAAAGACCCCACACACAAGCATGAAAGTGTTCCTTTAATAAGTACAATTTTGGATTAAACAAAATTGTATAGACAAATGTTTAAAAGTAGCCTACATTCGATACACTGTAAATGAGAAAACAAATACTTCATATATATTTATATAATATTTCAGATAAAAATAAATTTTATTAACAAATGTTTAAAGGTGTGCTTGTTTTGATATGATATATACAATACTGTTCTAAGGATTTATATTAGTAAGGCTATTTTTTCATGTTCACCAACTGCATTTAGGCTATCAGATTAAAAATATTGAAAAACATTACTATTGTGAAATAATTTTACAATTTAAAATAAAGGTTTTTCCCCCTGTGATGTCAGATCTCAACTTCTCTTCAGTGTCTCATGGTCCTTCAGAGATCATTCTAATATGCCGATTTGCTGCACAAGAAACATTTCTGATTATTATCACAGTTGAAAATGGTTGTACTGCTTAATAAAGTGTGGAAACCATTATACAGCGACAGGATTCCTTGATGAATAGAAAGTTCAGAAGAACAGCATTTATTTGAAATAGAAATCTT